TTGCTCTTTCTGAAGTGATCCTTCACCTAAAATGATCTTGACTTAAGCAAGGATTTATTTGATGGTCTCTTAATTTAAGGAGGGCAAATGTTCCTGCACCAGTGGTTCCTTGCCCTTGCTCCATGGGGCTTGCACCAACATGTTTTCTCTTACCAAAGTCCACACCAGGCCCTGACCTTGTTCATGTCTGGGCACTTAGTCTCACAAAGGAAATGTTAGAGATCATAGAATCATAGAAAGGTTTGTGGTGGAAGGGACCTTAAAGATCATTTGGTTTCAACCCCCCTGCCATGAGCAGGGACACCTCACACCTCCCACAGGTTGATCACGGCTCCTCTTCACATTGGCTCCTCAGCCATTTGGAAAGTTGTTATCGACCTATTCCTGGATTTCTTGTGCCCCACTGTGTTGTCCCTCTAACAAATATCGGTATGGTTGAAGTCCTCCATGAGGACCAGAGTCTGTGAATGCAATATGACTCCTATTTGTCTACAGAGGGCCTCATTCTCTCTGTTGGCCTAGGTGGATGGCCTGCAGCAGAGCCCCACTGTAACATCACCTGCCCCTGTGTTCCCTTTAATCTTGACCTATAAGCATTGTGTTGGCTTTTCGTCTATCCCCAGGCAGAGCTCCATGCACTCCAGCTGGTTATTGACATAGAGTGCAACACCCTCTCCTTGTCTTCCCTGCCTGTCCTTCCTGAAGAGTCTGTATCCCTCTATTCAGACATTCCAGTCATAGGAGCCATGCCACCATGTCTCCATGATGCCAATGAGAACATAGCCCTGGCGGCGTGCACATGACTCTTACTCTTCTTGTTTGTTCGCCATGCTAACTACATTTGCATAGAAGCACTTCAGCTGGGACCCCAATGAAGGTGACTTATGGGCTAGAGTTGCTGCGCTTCCTTTGGGCTGCTCTTCAGGTGGTGGTGTGAGATCCTTCCTTTGAGGTGTGAGATCTCCTTGCTTGAGCTTTTTTCGTAACAAGCTGATTAGAGTACTGCCTTTAGAAGAGAACAAAAGTGGGCTTTCAGGATGAGAACACCTACAAAGGTCTTCTGTTGCCTAATTCTTCCTGTTTTCCAGAGCAAGGTGCCTAATTAGCACTAGTGTATGTGACGGGGGCTCAGAGCTCTGAGTCACCTGGGAAGATATACTTTTCCAGTTGACACTGCTGGAGAAACTAAGAATAGCTCAGAGGAAGAAGTACTAGCTATTCCTAGAGATCTAGTGTCACAGAAACTACTGGGATTCAAAACGCCTTATTTAGATATTTAGAAACCAGTAGTTAGTCCATCTGTCACCCACGGCAACTAAAAGGGTTCCTCTGCTTCCCTCCAGAAGCACTGAATCAGGGTGTAAAACTCGTGACACCACTCCTCTCAGCATCCTGTTGCTAGTACCTGTGTTATGTGTGGTCTAATCCATAGGTTTTTGGTTTTGAGACATGGTACCAGCATGACAGTATTTCAGGCAGGCTTATCTAGAGGTGTCACATGGCATATAGCACAGGCAGCCCTGAGGCTGGTCTTCCCCTGGACTGACACTGTGCAGGCCAAGCCACTTCTTGGGAAGCCACACATAGCCTGCCATTTTTTCATAAATTTAAAAAAAAAAAAAGAAAAGCTAAATTTACAATAGAAAATGAAGCCTGGATTAACTGATATCTCTCTTCTCTCTGTGATTACCTTGTGTTTTCCCTTGAGCCCGAGCTGCCCTGTAGGATTATGGCGTTCCAGAGTCATTGGCATAATGATAACACGACTAAGAAATACGGAGACTCCCCTCTCCACGCTAATCCTTGCCAAGAGAATACTGAAGGCAGTAGATAAAGGAGTCACTAACACTGAGCTACATTTTGCTTGTAAGAATTGCATCCCAGAGGCTGTAGCCATTTTGCAACCTTTTAAATTTTCAGAGAAAATGCCTCCTGTGCCCATAATTAAGAGTTTAATATGCCACAGGGTCCTGTTCATCACAGTAACTTATTCTGCAGTAGAACAGATAGATAGACACTTGGTAGGTCCTTTGAAAATCTTTCAGCCAATCCATTAGATGGGGCTGTGATACTGGGGATTTTAATCACTGATACTCATTAGTGAGTTATTAGTAATTTATTTTAATAAAAAAGCTGCATGTTTTCTTTGTTTCACAGGCAGCAAGGCCTAGTGAGAGGTATCAAAGCACAGAATACTTTGGTTATTGTCAGCCTTGGCTAACCAAATTCACAAGTTTGCAGGATGCACATCAGGTTGAGCTTTCCCTTCTCTTAGCATCTCACAGAAGGCATGTGGATCCAAGGCAAAGGCAGCTGCGAGCATCTGCAAAGGCACATGCAGTGAGGAGGGTGTGCAGCAAGCTCACTACCCTGGACTTCAGAAGAGCAGACTTTGGCTTCTTGAAGGACCTGCTTGGCAGGTAACGTGTGAAAAAAAAAAACAGGAGGGGAGGGGGACCCAAGGAAGCTGCTTAGTATTCAAGGATCATACTCAGTGACTCTTTTCCTCAGTCTTCACTGGCCCAAGTCACAGAAGACAAAGGCATGCACTATTTAAGAAAAACCTACTGTAAGTGAAGATCACACAAAAGACTATCTAAAAAACCTGAAGGTACACAAGTCCATGCCATTAGGAATCAGTATGAATAAAAGCTTTAAAGATGCCAGTCTCAAATGGTTTATGCCAATCAATTTTGCCAAGGTGAGCCATAGCCAAGGTACTGGAAGGATCCTCAGAGGAGGTGCAAGGCGGTTCTGGGAATCAGGAAACCACACAGTAGCTAAGGGGGAGCTTGAGCAATGCTGCTACTGTGGTTAATATGCAAATATGAGTCGAGGTCAACCATCTTACACAAGTGGTGTTCGCCTCTACGTTCCCAGTCAGAGAAGGGGCTCAGCAAGGAGGAGACAAACTGAGCAGGTGAATGCCTGGCTGCACAGCTGCTACTCAAGGTTTTGGCTTCTGTGACCATGGATTGACCTTGGAGAAGCCGGGTCCGCTGGGAGCTGATGGCATCCACCCAACCTCATCCCGCAGGGAGAAAGAGGGGAGAATGCGGGGCACAGAAAGGAAAGGGAAATCCCCACGCAGCAGCCCTCAGCCAAGAGCAGCAGCCTCCTCCTCCCAATGGTCTCCCCAGCGCACCCCAGCCGGTGAAGACCATGGTGGCTACAAAGATGATTTTCACACTGCTTTCCCTTCACGCCATCATGACCATGGTGGCGATTTGACCCGGGCCGAGAAACTCCCTGGCAGCTCTGGTTGGGCAGGGACCGAGCGAGAGGGACCGCTGATGCGCCTCGGTGTCTTCACTGGGCTCCAGGCAGAGCTCCTGCCCATCCCAGGCACTCCTCAGGGAGTAGGTACCTCAGAACAGGACGTGCCAGACATGGAGAAGTTGGTGCTCTATCAGCAGTAGGAGTTGCCCCCTGCGAAATCTCCACCTGCATCCCCAGCATCGCCCTTGGGAAATGTCTCCTTGGAAGCCGTCAGCCAGAGAGCGGCTTTGGCAAGGCAGGAGCAGAGATCCTGCCGTGGACAGGCCCCATCCGCCCGCCAGGATAGACACCACCACCCACCCATCTCCATCAGGAAGGCACCAAGTACACCCACCACCACAAGCTCAGAGGCCAGCGCCAAGGCAGCCCATTCCATCCCACGGGGTGGCACCTCAAGGAGCAACAAAGCATCCACGGGCCACAAGGCCCCCTTTGATGTTTGGTGAGGTTTGGGGGTGCTGCTGTGATGCTGTGCTCCCCCTGAGGTACCAACCTGACCTTTATCTCCCCTATCCCTGCCCAAGCCATAACCACCCGTGGCGGGTCACAAGGGCTGCATCTGGTCCTGAGGGCGGCATCTGGAGCTCCAAGGCGGTGTTGGGAATCAGCTAACGACACATCACCCAAGGGGGAACGTGAGCAATGCTGCTACTGTGGTCAATATGCAAATATGACTAGAAGTCAACCATCTTACCCCCCTAGATAGTCAACAGCCCAAGAGCCCTGGGAGCTCTCCAGCAGCAGCAGCAGCAGCGAGCTACCTTGAGCAGGGACGCCCCTCCAGATTCCTTCTCAAGATTCAGAGATTCCTTGGCGCAACAGACCCTCGGCCAGTGACTAAGAGCATGTTATACTGTGAAACCTCAGCTCAGTGACAGAGAGGATTTGTGGGAGAACAAGGGGTTAACAGGACTGTGGAAGAAGCAGAGACCAGGAGAAGAAGCAGGAACAATGGCAGAAGATGGCCCATAAGCATCTCCGGACCTGTAAAGGGGACCTGTAAGCAACGCCTGGCGCCCCTGACTGATGGAGGGGAATCCCACCCGCCTGGCAGTTGGGGGTTGCAGGGGAGTGTCGGTTGGGAAAGAATACACACTGGTACTATGGAAGCTGCCTGTTGGTTATAATAAACGATTCTGGTTGTATCACCGACCGGGGTCCGTGCCTTCATACGCTACAAGGATTGATTGCACAGATCTAATCCTTCAGACACAAAGCCTTGACCAAGTCTGGCACTAGGATTGGCTCCAGCCGCCCCGAGACTCCTCTCTGGGAAGGAGCGTAGAAAGCAAGGTGGTCCTCTCTGACCCTCGGGACTCAAGGGGAAAAGGTGTCCCGCACACTTCTGCCTGACCCTGTCCTCCAGGCAGTGACTAACCAAGGGCACCTTGCCATCACATCTTCTTAGAACACTCTCTCAAAGGCTCTGGCTGAGCCGGGGCGGGGCCGAAGGGCATGGCCGGTTGCCACGTGCCCGTGATGCCCTCCATCGCCTGGGACACCCCAGGGGACGCGTCACAATGGGAGGGGCTTTATAAAGGGCGCCAGCAGGCAGCTGCCCCAGTACGGCCTGGGCCACCAGCGAGTGCGCTTCAAGGCCATGGCTTCGATGACGGTCCGCGTCTTGGTTCTGCTGAGCTTCTTCCTGTGCCTGGCGATGGTCGGCAAAGAGCTGGAGGAGGCCATGCACAAGCACATGCAGCTCAGGGAGGAGCATCTCAACCAGGAGATGACTCAGCTGATGGAGGAGCTGGAGCAGAGCACCTCTGCCCTGGGAGCCCTGCTCTTGGCTGCCTTGCAGCACTGGCTGTTCTGGGTGGTCGCTGGAGTCCTAGTGCTGCTCCTTGGGCTCTGCTGGTGGCTGAGGAAAAGGAGCCGTCAGCCAGAGAGCGGCTGTAAAGAGGAGACCACCTCCTGCGGCAGCCGAGAGGACGAGGAAGAAGCAGGCGAAGGAGAGGACTCTGATGATGAGGGGCGTCTGGTCAGGACTTTTGCAAAGCGCGTCCATGGGGCAATGAAGAGCGTGGCCTACAAGCGCCAGGTGGCGGAAGATCTGGTGAGCAACCTCCTTGGCGTCTTCCAAGCGCGCTTGGCCAACAGTTTCTTCCCGGTGCTGGAGCCAGCCATCGGGGTGGGCAGCGCCTTTGAAGGTTGGGATCCCCGGGGGCATGATGCGGTCTACCGCCTGCTTGTGCCCCTGAAGCCTCCCCGTGGGCACACGTTCCATCTGGAGCAGGCCTCTGCGGAGAAGATGCTGGCAAAGAACTGCATCCGTGTTCAGCTGGAATGCACCTGCATGAGGGGCCAAGGTGTGGAGAACATGCTCTGCTTCGTGCACCAGCCCGAGGAGGCGCTGAGGACAAATCAGGATTCCAACCTCCTAAACGACCTCTGCAGCAGCGCTGCACGTCCAGGCTTCTACCTGGACGTGCAGAAAATTGCCCACTGGTTCCAGACCTTGGTGAGCTCAGCCTGGGGGGAGATGGCTCAGTGGCATCACTACAGCATGAAGGTGCTGCCTTCCCGCCGCTCCTGCAAGCTGCAGCTGACCAATGCCTGCGGGAGATCCCTCTTGGTGGAGCTGATGTTCGGGGTGCAGCAAGGCGACTCGGACATCTTCCTGAGCAGCCAGGTTGCAGAGCACCCCGGCTGCTTCATCCCGGGCACAACGTGGGCAGAGAGCTATGCCGTGGCCGAGGCCAAGTTCTTCAGGCACGTGGCCAAGCAGGCCCCGCAGGACACCTTCCACCTCACATGCCTGCAGCTCTGCGCCGGCATCCTGGAGAGCACAAGCTTTTCCACCGGCACCTTGAAGACCGTTGGGATGCACCTCCTCAACACTCTGCCCCCGGCAAGCTGGACAAGGAGGGAATTCGTCTCGCGGATGCAGGATATCATGTGGGACCTGCGCAAGTGCTTGGAGGAGAAACGCCTCGACCACTTCTTCCTTGGCAATGAGAACATGCCCGAGGACATCGCCTTGCCCCCAGCCTTCCAGGCGGCTGAGCCCCTCAACCTCTTCCAGTGCCTGGTGCAGGATCCAGCTGCCCACGCCAAGGCACTGCGTGAGCTTGAGGAAGTGCAAGCTCAGCTCAGAAGACTGCTCTTCTATGGAGTCTGAAAGAGGTCTTCATGGACAGAGCCGTGCCTGTGTCCCCTCGGCTGCCCCGCGTCTTCAAGAGAGTCCACTCCTTCTGGGACTTTCACTCTGTACATAGTTGTCAATAAACTTGGTTTGTTTGAACAAAAGTTGCACCTCTGAGTGTGCGTGCATCAGATTTTGGGGGAACACTGGCATTGGGTGCTGACTGCTCAGCTGCCCCAGAGCCGGGGAGCGTTTAGACCACTTCTAACCATGCACAGAGACCGTCTGTCCCTCAGAGCAATGTTTGAAGGATGAGGAGCACAGGTGGTGTTCTCCTCTACGTTCCCAGTCAGAGAAGGGGCTCAGCAAGGGGGAGACAAACTGAGCAGGTGAATGCCTGGCTGCACAGCTGCTACTCAAGGTTTTGGCTTCTGTGACCATGGATCGACCTTGGAGAAGCCGGGTCTGCTGGGAGCTGATGGCATCCACCCAACCTCATCCCGCAGGGAGAAAGAGGGGAGAATGCGGGGCACAGAAAGGAAAGGGAAATCCCCACGCAGCAGCCCTCAGCCAAGAGCAGCAGCCGCCTCCTCCCAACGGTCTCCATCGCCTGGGACACCCCAGGGGACGCATCACAATGGGGGGGGCTTTATAAAGGGCGCCAGCAGGCAGCTGCCCCAGTACGGCCTGGGCCACCGGCGAGTGCGCTTCAAGGCCATGGCTTCGATGACGGTCCGCGTCTTGGTTCTGCTGAGCTTCTTCCTGCGCCTGCCGGTGGTCGGCAAAGAGCTGGAGGAGGCCACACACGAGCACATGCGGCTCCGGGAGGAGCATCTCAACCAGGAGATGGCTCAGCTGATGGTGGAGCTGGAGCAGAGGAGCCAGGAGCAGAGCACCTCTGCCCCGGGAGCCCTGCTCTTGGCTGCCTTGCAGCACTGGCAGTTCTGGGCAGTCGCTGGAGTCCTAGTGCTGTTCCTCGGGCTCTGCTGGTGGCTGAGGAATAGAAGCCATGAGGAGAAGGAAGTCGAGGAGGAGGAGGAAGAAGAGGAGGACGAGCCATTAGATATGTACCGATTTCTTGATGAGCACCCGTTGTGGCCCCAGCCAGACAGGGAAGAAGGAGTAGGCACGATGTTGGAAGAGCTTGTGAATGACCTCCTCTGTGTCTGCCGTATCCTCTCCAGCAACAGCTTCATGCCATGGCTGCAGCCAGCTGTCAGCATGGGTGGCTTTGCAGGAGCCCAGGCTCTCAGTGAAGACTTTGTCTACCGCCTGCTTGTGCCCCTGAAGCCACCCCCTGGGCACTCCTTCCACCTCAAGCGGGACAGCAAAGGGGACAACCCGGTGAGGGACAGCCGCCTGCTTGTCACGCTGGAGTGCACATGCCAAAGGCATCGGCGGCTGGGGGACATGCTCTGCTTCCTCCACCACCCTGAGGACGAGCTGATGACCAGGCAGGAAGCCAACCTCCTACAAACCCTCTGCATCGGCTCATACCTCGACATGCAGAAAACTGCCTTCTGGCTCCAGGGGCTGATGACAGCAGCCAGCGTTGATCTCTTTGAGGACATCCTGTGCAGACTCACCGTGTTGCCCTCCACACGGTTCTGCAAGTTCAAGCTGACCAACAGCGTTGGGACATTCCTCTACGTTGAGCTGATCTTGGCAGTGAAGGTGGGCAACACATTTGTAACCATGGAGTAGGCAGAAGTCCGTGTTACCAGCAGCACGAGGTGGCCAGAGAGTGAGTGCCAAAGAGAGAGAGTTCATTCCTTCTGAGTCCTTCCCTTTGTGCAAAGTTGTCAATAATCTGCCTGTGTTTGAACAAAGGGCAAGTGTCTGCATCAGGTTTTTTGCAGAACTTGGGCGCAGGGTGCTGACTGCTCAGATGCCCCAGAGTCGAGGAGCGTTTGATGAAGAGCTGACATGGTGGGCTATGGTTTCTCAGATTCTGTAGCTAAGGCTCCCCCTCCTGTCCATGTTGCTGTGTTGTGGCAATGAGAATAAACCATCACCTTCCACATCTCTGTATTTCACTTCTTGCTCTGGGGTGTATCAGGCTGTGGTGTGAAAAGAGTTTCCCTGATCAGCACTCCCTTCTTTGTGTGTGGAGCTGGATGCACAACCCCCGACTACATACTGGCAGCTTGAGTCTAACTGCCTTTGGCTGCAAGGGTTGTGTCCCCTGGGTCAGTATTAGCCAGTGCAGGGACCCTTGAAGACCTGGCCTTGAGACCAAGGCAGCACAAAGCAATGGGTTTGCCCACCTTGTTTTAGTTGCAGTGCTTTTGTAGGTGGAAAGCCACACAGGAGAGGCTGGGATTGGCCCATCTATGGAGGTGGCAGTGCTACTCTGTGGGATGCAATGTGAGAGCCCACCTGGCTGCCAGGGCTCTGTCAGGCATGTCTGGGAAGCAAAAGCTCCCTCCTCTAGTTCCTGGCTGGTCAGTCATCCAATTGGCAGCTAACAGTGATGGCCCCCCACTCTCTTCTGCAAGCTCAGGCCTACCAACACCTGCAACAAATCCCTCTCCATTTGAGGTGATGTCTGGAGTGTGGCTGGGCACCCTCCTGAGTATGTATTAGGCAGAGGCCAATGTTACCAGCACCATGAGGTGGCCACAGAGCTGTGCTCTGGCAGAGGTGCAGTCCCTCAGGCACTTGGACAGGCATGTCCCACATGGCAGCTTCCACCTCAAATGCCTGCAGCTCTGCACCTGGATCCTGATTGGCATAGGATTTTCCACCCATGCCCTGAAGGCCACTGTGATGGACCTGTGGCCCACCAGTAAAGCCGGCCAAGACAGGACTGGCATCTAAATCCTGTGTGGCACTGCTGTAAAGGAAGGGACTTCAGTGAGACCTGAGGGGAGCAGAGGTATAATACACCTTTGAAAGTCTTCAAGGCTCAGTCTAGGGCCCATTAAAACTGCAGTCTTCATCTTGTACTCAGCCACCCAAAATGACAGCGTAAAAAGGGAAATAAAAAGGAAATTTGTGCCCATTGCCCCTTGTCCTGTCACTGGAAACCACTGAAAAGAGTCCGGCTCCATCCTCCTTCAACCCACCCTTTAGATACTTGTCAGCATTAACAAGGTCTTCCCTCAGCCTGCCATCTTTTAAACAATAACCTGCACTCTCTTCTTAATGGAAGTGTTTTTGATGCAGGGCGTAGGCTGACTTCACCTTGGAGACACCTCCAACCTTGATGAACCATCATCCTCATTGTTGTTTGGTTCCACTTGCACAGCCTATTGTATAGGGTGTTTTGAGGGGGCAGAACTAGGCCATGGTTCCTCCTGGCCCCATCCAGGTCTCATCAGCTGCTGTCACACAAGCTGCAGGCTCCTGGCAGGTCTCTGAGATGTCTGTGGTTGGGGAACCCCCCACTGTACACTGCAGCCCTGGGGTGCACTGTGTGCTGCCGGAGGGTCTTTCTGCTCCCCTGAGGTTCCCCTGGTTGAGGAAACCCACCTGAACACCACGATCCTCCCCTGCGGTGCACCCAGGAGGGGACGTGTTGTCCACCTCCTCTTCCCCACTGTGTAATTTTGACAGAGTGGAATTTCTCACCAAGCGAGTACAAGTGAAGATCAGCAGGTATCACTGCTGGGGAAAACTAGTAGAAGTCGATGGAGTAAAAGCCTAGTTCATTTTTAGAGGAGTTTGACAAATTGGATAAGGAAACAGATTATGTGGTGTGAATGTTCCGGAAGATTAAATGTCAAAAACTGGAAGAGTAGAGCCAGGATTAGGGCCTCAGTACAGTATTCCAACATGAGCTGGAGGCCTTCACCCCCAGGACTTCAATGCAGTAAGAATCGATGCATTCAATCGATGCAGGACTTTGATGCATCATTCACATCGTGACCTCCCTAAAGAGACTGCAGGTGAGACAGTGTCACTATCAAACCACTAATCCTGTCCCAGCTTCTCCTTGGAAGTCTTTTAGAACAGCCTTCTCTTGCTCCTCAGCTGCTGTTCCCTATGCATCCCAGATTTCTGTTTTCTGGCCTGTAAAGCCTCCCTTGCTGTCTGGCTCTGCCCAGATTTGCTTTTTGCAACCCTGCCTTGGGTGCATGCTATGGCTGTGTTGGCAGGGCTGAGTGGCACAGGTAAATGGATTCCATGGGCGAATAACTGAGTAATTTCCCACCAAAACTAAGCTCTGACCAAAATAGTCCAACCCCAAAACTATTTTTCATTTGGGAGGGGACTTTTGCACTTCTTTTGCACATTTGAGCACTTCTTGTTTTTTATTATCCTCCTTATCTCCCCATTACAGACACAATACTTTTAAAAGTTTGTGGGGTTTTCCCATGCTTCTAGCTGGAAAGCAACCTGAAGACATTTAGATAGTTTGGTGGGAACCTGTAGAAATTTCATTCAAGCTGTGCTACCGTCAAGCAATGCCAAGGAAGGATGCTACCTTGTGACAGGTGAAGAAAATCAGGCTTTCTTATTTCTACAGGCTTCAAAGGGACTATAGACCTGTGTGTAGAAGAAACAAATGCATGTATCTCAGCGAAGCAAGACAAAGCTACCCTTAAGCTATGGCACAAAAGTTCAGTGAGATAATCACATTAACATTACTGAGCTAGCCATGCATGTGAAGCACAATACAGGTCCTATTTCCTATTTGTATGCATTATGGATCTAAAATATTCATATTTTATTGTCCTGCATTGACAGCAAACTGTTAGAACAGAAGAATGGCTGGCTTTCTGTCTGGAGTCTCATGTCTTATTTAGTGTGATCTTGAATGGCAGGCAGAATTAATCAGGTTCTCAACTTCACTTTATCCAATATTATTCACACTAGTGGACCTTAAACAGAGCTGGGGATGGGAGTCTCGTGTCCTTTCCTTTGGCTTCAATATATATATTCCACCTGTTCAGAAATCCTAGGGGGCTTGAACATTTAACTCTTGTGCAATTTCAGTAGGATTTTAAGATGTAAACTATTTAATGTATCTCTGAAAAATCTAGTTTCAAGCCATGATGGGCATCTGGCTAAAGCCTGCTCTGATGTGACAGCACCTTTCCACCCTGTGCTGGTGCTGCTGGCACCTACCGAAACAGATGCAGTCACAGAATCCCATGGGGTTGGAAGGGACCTCTGGAGATCATCTAATCCAACCCCCCTGCCAAAGAAGGTCCACCCAGAGCAGGTTGCACAGGAACTTGTCCAGACGGGCACTGGGGGATACCAGCTTGGGACAAAATGTCACACGTGTCTGAAACAGTCTTCATGCTTTAACAACGTTTGGTATTTCACAGAATCACAGAATGATATGGGGTTGGAAGGGACTTCTGGCCACCAGTGGCCACAAGGAGTGTGGTGGCCACCTCTTTTACAGGGAACTGGGGAGAGCAGCTTTGCTTCAAGAGCTCAGCGTGATGAAGGGCCCGGAGCAACCCACCGCGCTGGCTGTCACGCCTGCCAAAATGAAGCTGTAATGAAAACAAGCTACTTTCAATAAAGCCTGCGTATTCACTCAGAAATAATGAAAACAAGCACAAAGCAGCTGTGGAGCTCTTCTCGGGCTGTGTGTCACTGCTCCCTCCCGTCACACCGTCACCCATCTCCCCTACAGCAGGGTCCATTTGACCACAACAGTCTGCTGCAAGGTGATGCTGGCCCCACTGAGAACTGAATGCTAAGGGACCTCACTAAAATAAATTACTTTTGAAAAAAGTATCGGGGAATTATTTTACAATTGTTTTCCAATTGCTGAAATTGCTGCTGGAAACCGCTTTTCCCCCAAGACCTTGCAGAGCCCCTGCCCACTTCAAGTGAGGAGGAGACTCCCTGCTCTGGTGGTCTTCATGGAGCACCAGCCAAGCTCCATCCCCATTGTGCCCTCCACAAAAGCAGGAGAGGCATGGGATCTTCAGCCCGTGTTTTTTCCATAGGGGTTCCGGCCCCACTGACTCCCCTGGGAACAGGCTGCAGGCTTATTGCATTACTTCAGCGTGAAGTCATGCAGCCTTGACTATCAGCAAATGCCTTCAGCCCACAGTCTTCACTCTTCTCCCTTTACTTCTTCTTAGTTTGCAAGAAGAGAGGGAGGGGCGAAAAAGACTATTTCTGTGAAGCTGCCTGAGTTACCTAATGGTTTTATGGATCATGTTGCTAGGAAGGAAATACCTCTACAGAGCAGTACTCTGCATCCCTGAAGGTTTTAACCTCTTTTCAAACAAACCTCACCACCGTTGCATGAGGACTGTGACAGCCCTGGGAGGATGGACTACTCCAATAGCATGTTTTAATGACAACATAAAATCATTAATTTCTTTTTATAGAGTGCATTTCACAAACTCAGCTGCCATACTGCAACTCAGAGGTCTTTCTCTCTGCTTTGTTTTGTCCAGTTTTCACATGCTTCTTGGAAAAATCTCGTCAGATCCCCACGTGACTTGGTCAACATGTCATGTGTTTAAATTAGAATGAAGAGATTGCTTAAAGTTTATTGTTCTTACCTTTGTTGTTCACTGGGTGTGTTTGCCCCGTCTTCTTTTCTGTCAGCTGAGTGAAGCTGTCTGAAACAGAGCTTTAACACCACAGGGCATCAGAAACAGCAGCAGAAGACGAAAAGAAGCAATTTTTTTCTAATATCTCAGTGCACTTCTTCATCTTCCGTCAGTGCAAACCTACCAAATTTGAAGTTTAGAAATACACCCAATAAAAATTTATTCCTACAGCACAAACCCAAACTATTAAGGCAAACTAGCAATTATTCTTCCACACTAACATCAACATAAAGCAGATTAGAAGAATTAAATGCACAAGAGTGCAGTTCTTTTATGACTACTCACCCTTAATCTTCAGAAGATGGTTAATTACATTTTAAGCAGCACAAGAGCCCTAACATATTTGTATGTTAATAAAAATTCTCACCAG